AAAAACCTCAAATAGTGCAACGGAATTGCGTAAATGGCCGCACTGCACTTTGCTCCAATTTCCAGCGCCTCCAATACGATTAGCATTTCGAAGTTGTTGCATTTTTTCACAGCCGTTTGATAAAATTAGAATAGACAGACAACAGCATTGTAAGCAAACGAGCAGCAGCAGTGCGAATATTGGCAAAAAATTTAAATGCAAATTTTTTCTAAATACACAAACGAGTGCATGCAGATGTATGTATGTATGTATGTATGTAAATAGAAGCGAGCAATTCTAAGTATGCCAGTGCATTATTCACACAGTCTGACACTTGTTTTCTCGCACCGGCAATCACTGTAGCTGTAGCTGTATAAATGTTTGCAACAACTTGCGGCAGCAACAAACATCATCAGCTGGAATGATGTCACTGCCCGCCTGTGTTTATTTTAAATTGCATGCATTTATTGCTAATAATTTGTATTTTTTTTTTTTTTGCAATGGTTTATTAAAGTAAATTTTTCAACAATTTAATTTCTTCATTATTTAAATAACTATTCGCGTTGCTGTCAAAAAAAAACAAAGTTGCTTAATCAAAATTAACCTGACGGTGGCAAAATGGCAAAAATATAAAAACTACCCACGACAGTGAACCGTTAAATGATTTAATTGCGCAAATTTTTAATTGTGTACGCGCGAACGTGTTGTTGCCACATATTTCCACACATTTTTTATTTTTGATTTTTTTTTTACTCGCTGCGCGCATGAATTAATTTTTATTTTTTCATTTATTTTTTGTGTTTTTTTTTATTTTTGTAATTCCCGCTCGTAGCTATGCTACTAATGAAGCACTACAAGCCAACAACTGCATTAAAAATATTTGCTAGAGTGGCAGCTTTGCGGCGGCAGGCAGCATTGTCTTGATTGAATTGAATTAACTTAACTGTCAAGTTATTAGTGGAAATACTCGAGACATTAGTGGCGGTTAGCGCGAGATTGGTGTGTGTTTGGAGTTTTTGTACACATTTGTAAATGTTTTTTGTTGGATGAAAAAGGCAATACCAATTACACATTTCATGCCACAATTATGGGCAATAATCAAAAGCTGCTTCAATAAATTCATTTGACACTTTCGATTGCAAAAACAACAATGGCTTTTATGGATTTGGAAAATTAAGTTGTAAAACTAAAGTTTACTGGCAAAATCAATATTTTTTTAATTTTTGATTTATGGGTTGTCCACTTACGGAAGTCGGAAACAAAAATGGAAGTGCTAGTAATATTTGTTTAATGTTTTACTGTTATTGTTTTTATGTATGCATGTATGTATGTTCCATTATCTAACTTCTCTTTTAGTAAAATGTAGAGTGCTCCTTAAGAAATGCTTTCAGGCAGTGCCTTTTTTTATAATCTGTAAAAGAAGATCTTTCTAAATCCTTTCTGGAATAGTTTTTCGGTTGGTTCTGGTAATTTGGGATTGAAATAGGTTCGGCCCGTGGCTGGGTTCGTAGCACGAGAATGATGAAAGCTCGATTAGTAAAGATAAAGCCAGTATTGCGCCTAGATTTATTTATTGCAACTTTTTATCCAGCGCGCTATTTAAGTATATAACCCATTTACCAAAATAATAACGGCATCTTGTTTTTCTACATTTTACAAGTCGTATATTTTGTACTAAATACGTACATACATACATACATTCGCATTTTCCAAATGAGTCACTCCATTAATTGAATACTTCATCTTCATTTGTAGGGTATTTAATAAATTTGTGATTGTGTGAACAAATTATTTAAATGAGAAAATATACATAAATGCATATGTAAATATATGCTGCATATATACAAACATTCCCATTTTTAATCGCACAAATTTTAACGCCAACGAATAGCAATATTGCTAATTAACGGGTGATTTTTTTGAGGTTAGGATTTTCATGCATTAGTATTTGACAGATCACGTGGGATTTCAGACATGGTGTCAAAGAGAAAGATGCTCAGTATGCTTTGACATTTCATCATGAATAGACTTACTAACGAGCAACGCTTGCAAATCATTGAATTTTATTACCAAAATCAGTGTTCGGTTCGAAATGTGTTTCGCGCTTTTTTATCGACAAATTTTGTTCAGCGATGAGGCTCATTTCTGGTTGAATGGCTTCGTAAATAAGCAAAATTGCCGCATTTGGAGTGAAGAGCAACCAGAAGCCGTTCAAGAACTGCCCATGCATCCCGAAAAATGCACTGTTTGGTGTGGTTTGTACGCTGGTGGAATCATTGGACCGTATTTTTTCAAAGATGCTGTTGGACGCAACGTTACGGTGAATGGCGATCGCTATCGTTCGATGCTAACAAACTTTTTGTTGCCAAAAATGGAAGAACTGAACTTGGTTGACATGTGGTTTCAACAAGATGGCGCTACATGCCACACAGCTCGCGATTCTATGGCCATTTTGAGGGAAAACTTCGGAGAACAATTCATCTCAAGAAATGGACCGGTAAGTTGGCCACCAAGATCATGCGATTTGACGCCTTTAGACTATTTTTTGTGGGGCTACGTCAAGTCTAAAGTCTACAGAAATAAGCCAGCAACTATTCCAGCTTTGGAAGACAACATTTCCGAAGAAATTCGGGCTATTACGGCCGAAATGCTCGAAAAAGTTGCCCAAAATTGGACTTTCCGAATGGACCACCTAAGACGCAGCCGCGGTCAACATTTAAATGAAATTATCTTCAAAAAGTAAATGTCATGGACCAATCTAACGTTTCAAATAAAGAACCGATGAGATTTTGCAAACTTTATGCGTTTTTTTTTAAAAAAAAGTTATCAAGCTCTTAAAAAATCACCCGTTACTTAGGAATTCCAAAAAAAACACATTCCGAATTTGTTCATAAATATGTGCATATACAGTGACTTAAACGAGTGTTCAAGTATTGACTTTTTTTTAAATATTCAGTGTTTTTAAAGTTATATTTTATTTGTTGTATAAAAACACAAAAATATTGTCCAAGCCATATAAATCAAAGGGTCAAATATCATACAAAATTTAGGAAAATTCAACAAATTTTAATCAGAATCTTTAGAACATTTTTGGGTATGCAGTTTTATAGCGCATAAAATTTTAGGCTAATGAAGTGCAAGTTTCAGGTGTTTAACAAATCGCGTTGATTTTTTGTGGCCGCTTTTGCGTTTTTTTTTTAATATAAAAAGTAAAATTTATAAAACTGTGTTGATGTTTTGATATGTTGTTGCGAACTGGCTTGTGCATTTTATTTCACGAGAAATTCATGTTTATATGGAAAAATTGTTATGGGCTATAAAACTGCATGCCTAAAAATCTGCTAAAGATTCAGCTTAAAATGTCCGAAATTTTAATAACAATTTCTTGATTTTGCATACATTTTTTATAAAGATGAAAACTTTGATTTATATGGCTTTGGTAAAGGTTTTGATAATATTGTTATAGAAAAATAACAAAAGAGGACTTGGAAAAACATTGTGAATATTAAAGAAAAATCAACACGTGAACACTTGTTTGAGTCACTGTATATGTGTAGCGTATATACATACATATGTATGCATCAAACTGTAGTAATTTAAGAAAAAATAAGGACAATTTACACCTCTTTGTAATTTAATGTATGCCGTTTGAAAGAGGGTGTAGCCTTTTACGCTAAACACTTAAATAAATACTTAAGTATTTACTTAACTAATGACCTAATCGCCCACCTGTTAATATATAGCCGGCTAGCAGCAATCAATTATATCTTCAGATACTTATTCTTCGGAAAATAGCAATTTATAGCATGCGCTTAGTTTACCAAACGAGCTTTTCAAACAGTTTTTAAGTCTATTTTATCAGAAATCAAATCCATAGGCGTACTGCCAAATTCACACAAGCGTTCGACACCGAAGTTCTACTTTGACGATAAGATCTTGAGCGACCAGGGTTTTCACCTACCATCAACACATTGGCAAATGAGTATTTTTTTTTTGCAATTAATAAAGAACTTTTAGTCAACCGATTCTCACAAGAAAAATAAATGCTCATGCTTGCAATTAATTACTAATATTTTTTTTTTTTACTTAAACAGCACTGCCTTGTATATACAAATGTACTTATATACATATGACTGTATATCCATATGAACTTGCATTCATAAAATTTTTGCCCCAAATACCAGCGAATCAGATTTAAAACAACAAACATCTCGTTCTGCCAATCAACGGCAGTCTGCAGTCAATCAAAATTCACGTAGAATGCTAATCACAATATTTACAAAACATATTTGTTTGTTAGTAAAAAAAAAAAAAACCTTGTTTAAATAAATATCTACTAAGTAATACGGAGCGCACACACGCATCTAGCGTTGTAAATATATTTTTCTCGGCAGTTCATAGCGCCACTTCCAGCCATGCGTGAATATTTTAGAGCCACTCCTTAGGCAGCTTAGCCATATTATGCTGGAACTGAACTTTGCTAAATAACTGCATATATGTTTTGTTTTATGTGCTTGCATATGTACATATGTATGTATGCATCTCGATATATAAGCATACATTTATGGTCTATATTTACAAAATTGATGATGACTCTGCCTAGTAGCCGCCTATCTTTATAGACCATCTAATTCGTTTGACTGGAAAATGGTTTTCAATTAAGTTGAAAGCCTAAAACTAAATACATGCATACATACATACTTAAGGCATGCAGAAAGGGTGAACTGATGAAATTTCATGTGGAGCTAACAGCATGTGCCACGTGTGATGACGCAAAACCTATACCACAGGTAACCGGATGATTGACTTTAAGCCATCACATTTAGGTACACAAAACGGAGAGGGCTTTTCTGACTTCAACAGTCTAAAGTTATTTACTGTTTGATTCAAATGATGTTCACTTTTGATTTATTTACTTTTTGTTTTTAATTTTTTTTTTACTTTTCACTAGTCACTATTTTATTATTAGTTAGACAATATTGTAATCAGCCAAATTATGTTCCCTTTTTCTTTCTCTACAGGGCTCTCTCATGTTTATAGAAAATATATACTGGTAAGTCTATAATCATATATGTATCACATTTTATTTTTATCCTTACATTCGCACTGTTGTCTCTAATAAATTTTTTGCCACATCAGCACGCATGCCATACCAAGAGGGCTAGCGTAGAATGGTAAATATATATTTTTCTTTCATCTAATGCTTATGCACATACATACATACATGCATGCTTAGTTATTTATATCTATCTTTCTATATATGTATCACTTTGTGAGCTAATGCACCATGTACGTGGCATGTATGTATGCATGTTTGTAGGTAAGTTTGCAAGTGTACCTGTACAAGTTTTCTAAATTTATAGATCAAAGGCACGCAGCTCTAAAATAAGCACGCATACATATATGTATATATGCAGGCGCGATTGATTCAATACCTTGTGGCTGGAGCTGAAGTTGGGAACACTACGCGAGTCCTGCAAAGAGATAATAACAAAAAATAAACATAAATTAGAAATGACACTTTTAACAGCGGGAGATGTTCGAAAGGGTTAGAAGGGCGTAATTTAAAGACAAAAAATTAAATAAATGTATAAAAACCAGATAAAACACATAACTTATAATCTAACGTAAATGCTTTAAGAAACTTATAAAAATTTTAAGATATTTGTATTTTCCATTGATAAAATATGTGTATAAGTGGACTTCGCAACTCGTAATAACATTCCATATAAATTTCCGTAGTTCAACAGAAATTTTGAGGTTTTCGATGATATTTTCAAAATTAAGCTAATAAGCCCATCGGAGAAAAAAAGTTAATTGTTTTTTGTAAACAAAACTTTAAAGGAGTAGTTTTTCATATAGCGATGTCTCAGAAACTTTTTTAGAATGTCCTATCTCAATACAATTTGAATGTATTTCCAGTTGAGATAGGGCATTTTTGAACCAACGTAACGTAAAAAAACAAAAACCATAATTTCAAATTCAAATTAAAAAAAGATAAAATAAACTAAAAACTTGAGTCCGCCAAAAAGTTTTACGTAAGTCGTGGAATGGTGTCAGGACTTAGAGAGTAGCGACACATACATATATACAGGCCGATGTTCTGGCCGTGACTAATTTACGTACCCCGCGGAGATTTCGACAGCTATAAAGAGCACGAGCACGCTTCAAGCACTCCAAGACATTTTTTTTCCAATTTGAAATGGCCTTGACCCCATGCGCCTAATGGAGGGGTAAAAGGCTCCAAATTTTTTCGCTCCTCGAAAATTTAGTCGCACCTGTGTCAGGATATAGTCGTAAGAATTTTATTTGCAGAGACAAGAAGATTACAATTATTTACCGAACTATGCCGTATTCCAAAATGCAATATATATGGCTTCAGTAATCGTATAGGACCCATTTTTTTTATTTCTTTAAGGCTGAAATATTTTCTTTTGCAGGCGCTTTGTATTTTAATTTATAGATATATATATTTAAAAAAATTAATCCTATTGCGTTTTTTTTATTAATTATTACATAGTCACCCCCAAATGGACATAATCGATAAAATATATAACAACCGTTGCACTTTTACCTAAAAAAAACTATTTGTTTAATGGTGCTCAGGTCAGGAAACGAACCGAGCATTTAACTGCGAATAAGTCATTAAAGACTTTCTAAACTTTTTCTTCAACATTCCATATTTTTGTCAATTTGCTGTCTGTTTTGTCTCCAAGGTGTTCCGTAGGTGATTTCGAAGTAAGGATTGGATAGGTAGGGGGAACCAAGACTTATCTAATATTTACTACAGCATTCTTCTTTTCCTTATATCTGTTTGGGCCGAGACCAAAGGATATCGGTAATTGTAAATTTGAATTATTTAATTGTTGGGGTTTAATTAGCATGCCAGAAATGCCTTTTTTCTAAACAAAAACTCATCTCTTGAGATTCATTTGAGTATCTGTTTGCGATTTGGTGACTACAAAATATCAATTCTTATGTAAAATACAAAGTAAAATGACTCCATTTTGCATTCTATTAGTCTGCCAGACCTACTTATTAATTCACTAAAAATTTCCCCACACATCAAAATCAAAAGTTAGCTTCATTCAGTTAAAAATAAATGCAGCCAAAACGCAAATTGTCCATTAATCATATTTTTACTATCAACAAATTAAAATTTGTTTATGCAGATAATTAAATGGCTAGAGCAAATGTGTAAATATTTATTTATCCAGCATGGACAGTGGCGGATTTATCGTACAGGCAACATAGGCTGAAGCCTAGGGCGGCAGAATTAAGGGGCGGCAAAATTTAAGACAGCTAAATTAAAAGAAAAAAATTTATTTGGATTCAGCTGCACTTGAAATTGTGTTTGTGTCTGTAAAATATTATTAATGATTCATCTCATTCAATACAATTCAAAATTAGAATTACGCTGCGAATTTTTCCTTAGTATAGCAGTCGTTGAAATTTCCATTTAACTTTCATTCACGCGGCTTAGAAACCTGACGGCGCGCCTGCGCGTGACGCAAAGAAACAGCCGACACGCTGCCCCGAGAACGAGAATCATCTAAAAGGTTACCACACTTGACAACACTGCCGAAAAACGAGCGAGCATTTTCGAGAAAATTCTTGATTCCAAGCCCACCAGTTTTTCATAAGTGTATCATAACGTGAATAATCTGAAGGTCAGCTTCCGTCGTATGTCAAATTAGGCAGTGTATCTGTGTATGGTCTTCTGTTTGTCTTGCGCGAGGTCAAAAAATCTTCCGGATGAGCGATTTTATTTTGTATACTCGCATAGCGCTACTTCAATGTCCTGATAATTGGATTCTACTTGTCCAAACCTCTAAAGCATTTCAGTGCAGAATACATCGTGTTTTACAGATGCATGTACCCGATGAATGTTACGAAATAAGGTACGCTTGCGTGATTTCATAGAAGTATTTTTCTTATAACTACCTGAAATGTAAACAAACATTCAGCAAGGTTAAGCGGACATCACCAAACTCTCTAATTCGTTTGATATTTCTCTACAAAACTTTGCAGCATGCATGAAGTGAGCTCAATTATTCAATATTTGAATTTTTCTAGATCGAAATGAGAATAAGCGATATTGCAACGTTTATTTACTAATTATGGCTGACGGACGCATGAGCCTTAGTGGAGCTGGCTATCGAAAAAGAGCATTAGAACAAGATGAAAGACATGCACAAGTTATGTCCAAAACACCTAAAATTCAATATATTTGATATATATATATATATTTTTTTTTTTTCGTGAAAAAAGGGCGGCAAGTTATGAATTGCCTAGGGGCGGCAAATATTTAAATCCGCCACTGAGCATGGACACTAATGCATAATTTCTTTGTATTTTTATTGCCTCGCCATTACTGTGAGGAGAATAATAATTTATTTAGAACACATTGCGGTGCAGCGACACATTTGACTAAAATACATTTGTACTACACTGCGTATGTGCCCAGAAACACAAACTATCGCGGCAGAAGCAAATATCTTTAAAGATGCTCCGACATGTGCCTGCACATAAATAAATATGGGCCAGCACCCACAACTAGCCGCCAGCAGAAAATAGCAAATACAGCTGTCACTAACAGCCGCAAAATTATTGACTAAACAAACAAAAATTTACCAGCATTGAGGCCAAAAATCGTGATCTAAAATTATATTTTACACATATGAGCACAAACATTGGCACACACACACATAATTTTTATCTTCTTTTTTTTTGTTTAATTTTAGCGAGTGCCACACGTAGTGAAGGCGTACTAGCTATGCGTATTGAAAGGCGTCCGCCATCGCGTATGAGTGACTGTGGAAAATTGCGCTACTGAAAGCTTATTAAATAAAGTCGTGGCATATTTAGTGTGTGGTATGTATGTATGTTTGATCAGCGCCAAATTTCAAAACGAAATAGTTTTGGGCCACCAAATGGAGGTAGAACGTACAAAATTAAGACATCCATGAAAATTTCAAAATCTTAAAGAAATTTTCAAAATTAAAAAAAATGAGTTTTGAAAATATGTATTTATTATTTTTTAATCTCAAAAATTAGGCAAAACTTAGTCCAGCTATATTTCAAAATTTATCAAATTTCTATTAAAAAAAAATTGTGTCCAATCCAAAATTTTTTAAAATTTCTTAAATTTTCGCGGATGTCCAGCTTAATGTAAACATAATAAAATTCTTAAAAGATTTCTGGCACTTATCTAAAAAGTTTTCAAATTTCTTTTTTTTCTTTTATTTATTCTCCACTAAAAAATAAAATAAAATCTATGTACACTTTGAATGCTTCTGGGCTTTCACCATTTTACATATCTCATGCGAATGTAGTACATATGAATGGACTCAGTGGTTGACAGACACAACATGTGGCAAGCGTACAAAAATGCCTTACGCTCTAAGTAAACTCAATTTTATTTATTCTATTTTTAAAAATATTCTGTTGCCTTAACTTTTTGATAGAAAACAAAAATTGTCTGTTTTTACTTTAGAATTCATTTTAGTTAATGTGCGGATGTCTGCCTCAACAAATCACAGCTGCTGCCTGTGTTTGTGGATGTATGAAATTTTAATTTCTACAAAAGTTGCGCAAAGCTGAAATTCTAATATTTAAAATAGTTTCCTTCTTTTCCAATATATAATGCGAATACTCTGTACTGATCGCCACTGCCCTGAAATATGGATTTAATCTAATAATTTTGAAGTAATTTATTACATTTTTAACACATCGAAATAAAAACAAAAAACACTTTTTCTTTTTGGCCTGTACGTCTACAATTTCCTAAATTAAAAATGGATCATAGAGGTCTATGTAGGGTAGCAGTAATACAACTCCCCTTCATTTTTTAAATTTTCTTTTCTCCAATTTCTCTTTGTTTAATTCACAAAATCAGCAATTAGTGTCAGGAAATGTCAGCGAAGGTCAGCGCAGCGCAGCAACCAGAAGGCGGACAACAACAAATTATGTACATATTTAGTTGGATGACATCATGGAACTGATTACTCATTAGCTTAAACTTAATGCCACTTTAGATTTAATATTATGAAATTCACTTTTACTTAACCTTACGTTGGCTGTGGACGTTTGACCATCGCAATAAACAAAAATTAAAAAAAAATATATATTTCTGTGTAAAAATAACTAAATACAACACAATGTTAAGTTTGCCGCCATCATAGTTGGCTAACACAACAGGTTTGTTTACTTTTCAGCCGTTGATGAATGTGAAATTTACACTGCAAGTGAGCTACATGCAAAAGTACATACATATAAAAAGATATACTCATGCACAACAACATGCAAATCTGTGGGGTAGGACAGGGTCGCTATTAAAATAGCTAAAAATATTCATACATTTAAAAAAGTATCAAATTTCGAGCGAAGGAAAATTTATCTCATCCATTTTCAATATATCCGATGCAAAAATTTACCATTTCAGTCTGGCGAAGGTCAAACAATTGCAAAGAAAACGCTCTGTACTATACTCATCCTGAAAGCAAGACCTACATAGTAGGTTGTCGATGACACCTATGGTGATCATATGTTTGTCCCCATGGTGCTTCGTAATCAGTTTTTAGGAAACACTTGCCTGTTTAGCAGGTGTAAGCATTCCACTAGGGGCTCTCATCATATCCTTCAATGTGTACGCTATTTGTGTAGTGTAATTGGCTCTTGTCCAATTGGCTGCTCCAATGAACCGCAGTTCGCCACTTCATCGACCAATTCGTTGTCTTGAAAACCACAGTGTCTAGGTATCGACACAAGTTCAAGCTCATTTTATTTTGCTAATGAGCTCAGCCTCAATTTGTCTTTCCAGACTATTTTTGAAAACCTGTGAGCGGATTTCAATGGCTCTAGAGCAGCTTGGCTTTTATTGCAGACCTCGATTAGATGTCCACGCCAACTATCGCCAATTATCCATTCAGCTACTTCAAGTAATGCAAAGACTTCCTGTTGCAATACCATTTGCATTTAGCAGAAAAGTATCCAGTCAGTCCATTTCAGTCTTACAGCCGCCGGTTCATAAAGTTTTTATCGAGCTCCCCAAGAGATTGTCTGGACATCTCCACTGCTCCCTTGTAGACAAGCTAACGTCGTACTTTCAGGAAATACTGATGTATGAGAGAACATCCTAGAATCTAAATAAGTAGCTTTGTGATTGAAACATATTTATACCTTTCATGAACAGGAAATGGTATTAGAACTTTGGTCGATGTTTTTAAGTAGCAGAAGAGTGATCAAAACGCCGAGCTGAGTCGATTTAGCCATGTTCGTCTGCCTGTCTTGTTGAGCGCAATCTGGTCCCTCAGTTTTCCAGATATCTCACTGAAATTTGGTATTTCTATAATCTATTAATCATTTTTCGTAACTGGCAAAATCGGACCACTGTAACAATATAGCTCCCATACAACTGTTTGTTCACATATGAGATTTTTCGTCATAACTCCTTCACTTATGCAGCTGGGAACATGAAACTTCGCACTATTTTCACCCATTGTCAACATAATACTTTCAGTGAAAATAACAACGATCGGGTCACTATAACCTATAGCTCTCATACAACTGATTGTTCAGATATAGGGTTTTACTTTAAAGCTCCTTCATTTCCATTAGATCGGTGCTTTATAAGGTATATGTATCTTCGATACCACTGATTGTTCTGATAAGCAATTTTTATATAACTCCCCTTTCTATGCATGCAGTGACAGCACTGTTCTTACTTGTTTTCGATTATTTTTTACTTATAGATCATATAGATGGATGGAGCCTAGATCCCGCGGCCGCTACTACCAACATTGGGCCTCATACATACATAAATATGATTTTAAGCTCAGACTAAATTTTTGCATTGCACTATCTTTCTTTGCTTCAAACATTACTTTACAAAGATGATCCGATTCAAAAGAGCTTACATTGACGCCCTTTAGATATGAACGTCGCCCACTAATCGCTATTATTTTGATACTTGATTTTAGATGGCTTTATTTAATAACATATGTACATACATAAGTAGGTATGTACTATATATGCACTCAGCATTTAATTTATATCTACGCCGCTATTGCACGAAAACTAACTATGAGGCGGGCACTACCTACAGTTAAGTAAAATATTTTCATAATTTTTTTTTTCAGTTTCTTTAAACGCGCGCTTAGTTAGCTATGACATTTTGAATGAATTAACGAATATTAAAAACGAACCATAGATGGGCATGCCCGCGTGACAGCCCGTATGATTGTTGCAACCTGTTGACGCTACAGACTTAGTTAAGGCTTGTCATACCAAAAAGAAAATTTAAAATAATAATGCCATATATTAAAGAGCATAATGATAATCAGTTAACAACGGCTCCAACGGCTAAACCATAGCTAATCGACTGGCTGGCTGATCGTTGGTTATGCCAAACCAAAACAAATTAGCATTTTGTATGGATTTGTAAAAGTGTTTAGCTGACGACTTGGTTTATGAGTGGGCCGTAGAAGGCGCACGATTATGATAAGCTGACAAAGGCAAAAGAAAAGCCGTAGCCCCAACGTATTTTGTTGGTATTTATAGTTTGTGATATCCGGTCTGGCATTTCATCAAAGGGAAAATGCATATCAACTATTAAAGCGCGGCTTCCATCAGCTACTTAACTGTGTTAAATTTTATTTTATAGTTTATTATTATATGTTTGTACATACGGATGTATGTTAGAAAAAATTAACCCATTTCTAAAAATAATTTCTAATAATTAAATTTCTAACAGAGATTTTTAATTTCCTTTGCTTTTTGCCACTTTTGGCCGATCACCAAATTTATTTAAATAATATTTGTTATTTTGCTAGTAGTCTTAATGCAATTATCCGTACTTTTTTGTCGCATTTTCATGCCAAATTTAGTGTAAAAAAGTGAAAATTCAATTTTGTTGCTTCGCTCTTTTGAAAAAAAAATATATATATATATATATACTCATTGGCGCTTGGTAGGTATGTAAGTTTGTATAATCGCTCACTTTATATGTCCATACAATTAAATCCGAATTAGAATTTAATTAAACAATTGGCAATCAATTACAATTGCTTTAATGTTTTTTTTTTTTAACTAAAAAGGTTTTATAAACAGACAATTCGCTGATGACGCGCTGACACATATATATGAGTATGTGTGTTTGTACTTACACGTACATATGCAAACTGCAATTAAAAATATACAAACTATTTTGACTACAAAATCGCTCGACAGTGGAAGTGAATAAATAGAAATAGACGAAAGCGAAAACAATGTTGGTTGTTTGTGTTGGCAAACAAAGTTTTTTTAATGTTTAGTATTTACATATGTACAACTGCCTATGTATGTATTTTGGTATGTATGTATGTATTTATGGTATGTAGGTTTGCACGAGGTAGGCGCACGCATAGCGGATGCGCTATTAGTTAAGAATGTGGGTTAATGGGATTAATAGGAAATTGCGAAATATTTTTTTTTTTTCGTCTTGGTTTCGCACGCACTGCTTGTGTATTGCATTTGTGGTTAAATGAGATTAATTAATCAGATGAATTGATTTCATTCACCAAACTGTTTGCAGAACTGACTAGCTGACTCAAATAGCAAAGTATGACGTGATAATTATTCACGCATGCGAGTTGAAAATGAAAGTTGTAGCAAAAAGTATTTCAAGCATTTTCAATTTCATGGCAATTTTGGCATGCAATGATTTGATGCTCAATTTAAGGCAATAAAGTACCAGGTTGACAGAACTTTGAACTTCTTAAAGTTTTAAAGGTTTGGGTATCAAATTGTGCTCACTTAATTTAAAAATATTTTGCTTTTTTTATATTACAGCCAACGGCATTTATT